GTGATTCTTATTTTATTCGTCTAGATCTAACGACAACTTCGATTTTATGGGAGGAACTGGTTTTTATTAATGAACATTTAGCTCGATTTACATCTGATGGAATACACTGAATGTACATAGGAGTGTACGAAGGCTTTGAATTACTTCTTACGTTTCCTCTTCTTCCTTCTTCTTAGACTGAATTCTCTTGTATAGTTCATAATTTTTAGTTTTAAAAACTTGCCTTTATATAATATTTACAAAAATATCGTATTTCTGGAGATCTATAAAATAAAACGATGCTCGCTGTTGAAATAATAAGAATTTTTACCAGGATAAAATCTTTGTATTCTGTTATTTGTATAGATATACAGAATGTATAAATTTTCGTGGTAAATTAAAATTGTTTCTACTGTTTTGTAGTTAATAAAAGTATAATTTATATTTCATTCGATGTTTCCTCTTTCTAAACAAAATTTACATCTTCGAGAAAAAAAAAGAAGAAAAAAAAAAACATTTTCTTGATAAATACATATCATTCCAATATATGTCGATAATTAAACAAATCAGCGACAAGAGAAATTATTTTATACTTAATTATCTAATCTGTTATAATTTTTATAAATATAATATTCGTAGGATAATTTGAGACAATTGCATATACGTATATAGTTTTCGAAAATTACTATAACAAATGGAGATTAATAAAAGACTATCTTTCATTCCCTTTGTTCAAGATTGTTCTTCTTGTCTTCGATATTCATCTTACACATCTTAAGATACCCGCTCAAAAAATAAAAATATAAAAAATGAACACAAAATATGTTTATCGCGCGTATTATATAAAAAAATAATTTTATTGAAATAAGCAGATAAATTTTTAGAAGAATAAGCTTGATAATAAGCTTATTTGCAGATGTGCGTTATGAACTTTGACTATGTGTATGTACATGGAAAGTTATACGAATGTATTAAAGATTCTGTAGCTAACAGAAGTATACTTCGGTAGTATACTTCGATCTTACAACATAATTCCTAAAATTATGTTAGTAAAATATACAATCTTTGAATCATATAATTAATGTCTCTGGATTTTTATAAATTGACCGTAAATTCATATTAACTTCGAGTCTATACAAACGTAATTAGTTATTAAATATAAATCGATCTTCAATATTATTTCAGTAAGTGATTTACAAGTAATCAATTACTAGAATGGATGCTATTATGCTATTATACTGTAACTTTCATTTCACCTCTTTAATATTCTAACTATTAGAGTGTAAATCGTTCTCTTTTTCTTATCATATTACTGATCGTATATTTATTTCAGTTTATTATAGTCTGTTTTTAAGTTAGGCCATGAACTGTGATGATATTAAATAAGAATATAAAAATGTGTGAGTGCAGATCATTTTATCACTGTGAAAATTAATCTTTTTATGATCTCTTGATTGTTATGGCACCTTTCAAATTGTAGAATTTTAAAATACTATTATTATTCATTGCCTGAATTATTTCTCTTGTTAGTAAAAATAATTTCAGGTTTATTTGAATTGCTTAAATATTGCTAAATCAGAAACAATCTTGTTACAAGACTGTCTGATATTTTATTGCAGTCAATTCCTAACTTAACTTGCCCTCATTGCGATGGTGTTTAAAGTAACTTATCAACTATTTCAACTTTCCTTTGTAGTACAACTGATTCATATTTAGCGTATCTAATATTTGCACTTAAGTTTTTGTTGAATGAGCGAACATTATACCTAGCGTGAATTCTTTTCGTGAAAATTACGATTTGAAAAATACAGGGTAAACCTAAGTAAAAAATTGCAATTAAAAAGATTTGTTATTACATCACGTTCACTACCATATTGAAGTTTTCTATGAGATAATGCAGTTATTTAAGAGATTCGACAGTCTATTAACATGATAACAGGTTTCATTACTGTTCTTTCTAAATTTTTAGGATACAAAGTTTGATAAATTAAATTAAGCATGTTAAATCCAGTTACACATGAAGACAAGATATTAAAAATATCTTAATAATAAATATTGAAATAGATATGCATTAGTATTTTTAATTACTTTTAGCAATAATCCTAGAATAATTTTCATGTTTAACTCAAGCCTAAAAATCATTATCAATAAAAAAGACAAATATTCAGTGAATCTCTTAGTGCAATAGAACATCCTGCAAAAATTTCGCCATGGTAGTCAATATATCAAAATCTCTTAATACCTAACACGGAAAATTCAAACAGCTTTCTCGAACCAAATGCCTTTACCTTTACTACTACCAACACTAGACGTCTAAGAGATCGATACACGCATTCCTCTCATACTTGTAATATAATATCTTTCAATAATCTTACACACACACTTAATAGTTCGTGCTTTCGGTTCACTTTCTTTCATTATGCGATTTCATATGTGAGTTCAAAGAACCCTGTTGCGTGAACCTTTTCTGGCACACCTTACACTCATACGGTCTTTCACCCGTGTGCGTTCTCAAGTGTACAATCAAATATTTCCGGACGCTAAAGGCTTTGCCACATACTTCACAGACGTGCGGTTTCTCACCTGAATGTATACGCATATGTATTTGCAGGTAAGCTTTACTAGAGACTGATTTCCCGCAAATTTCACAGGTGATTAAGTTCTCGCCGGTGTGTATCTTAAGATGCACTTTCAGAGCTGCTTTCCAGTAGCTCTCGAAGTTGCAGATATTGCACTTATGTTTCTCCCTCTCACCATGAGACTTCATGTGCGTGTTCAGATAAGCAGCACTCGCATAAGGGGTATTGCACACTTTGCAGACAAACGGTTTCTGCCCTGTATGGGTGAGCAAGTGTCTCTCAAGGGTCTGATTCGTGTAGAAGCCTTTGCCACAGATCTCGCAGTGGGTCACGTATTCTTCGTTGTGTTTCTTCTTGTGCAGACGCAAATCGTAGCCAGACACCTTTGAGATACCGCAGATATCACAAGTGAAACGCTTGTTGTGCTGTTTCAAGTGCGTCTTCAGGAACTCCTCCGTTTTGAAGCATTTATTGCAGAGCACGCACTGAAACGGCTTCTCCTTTTGATGCACTTTGATCATGTGCTTCTTCAGCTTCTCCTCATCCGTGAACGTTTTGTCACATTCCACGCAACGACCACTCATCTCCTCGTTGTTCCTCTCGTGGTCCTGCCTGTGCTTCAGAAACTGAAGCTTCTTCCGCATCCTCTTGCTGCAGATATCGCACTCATAGATCACCAAACATTTCCTGTGAAAATCTTTGTTAATGTCCTCTACCTGCTCCTCCTGTTCTTCGATCAGCTTCACTTCTGTCTCATCGGTATACTCTAACGTTTCGGTCACTATTTCCTGATGGCTGATCTGTTCGAACTCTTCGGTCGTGCAAATGTCATTTTGGTACTTGACCAGTTCCATATCCTCCAGCGTATCTATCGGTTCTATTTTCGTTTCCTCGTACTCCAGGCACCTGCAATGCACAAGACTCGTCAACGTATGAAAAACAATAGGATGCATGTTTTAAGAAGGTTATAAGCGTATTCTTGGGTAAGGCGAATTTTCTTCCGTTTAGATAAGAGCTGGTCTCGGTTTTTCTTCTGCTCTCGATGACTTAATATCGATTATGAAATAACACGCTGTGAAGAAAAAATCGAAACTCGTGGGGAGCCTTTTGCAGTATCTATGTAGAGTACATTTGTCATGTGTGAATACGAATGGTCGAGTATCGGAGATTGATACGTTAACTAATTAAATGTAATTTTTAAAAATATAGCTACGATCCTTTGACGTCGTTCCTTTCTCAAAGAAATATCGATATGAATATGTTTTCGAAGTATTCGTTACCTTTTTAACAAAATCGTTTTCAGAACTCTCGTATAATCTGTTAGGGAATTTTTCGAATTTAATATTAGTTGGATTTTTACATCCGAGATTAACTTCGAATTTATTCAGTATCAAATTTGCACGTATTCTTCTATTTCCATTTATATGAAGCCAATATCGTTGAAATTATATTTTTTGAGATTTCAATTTATATTTTCATGTTTCCTTAATGTCTTTTTCTTAGCAATAAACTTAAAATCGTTCGCTACTTTAATATTTGTTTCTCTTTTTTAAAATATATTTTTTCGCTCAAAAATACATTACTCACTTACCGGTATAGTTGTTTTGTACGCAACCATTCGAAGTAAACTATTCTTAATTCCCATTTTGTAATTAATCCGGATCAAATTGTTCAACTTTTATTAAAACGAATTTTCATATTCTCAAATCCTTACTAAGGCATTAAAATATTACAGGCAACAGGGCAGTTTATGTTCATGTACTAGTTTTATTGCACTATAATTGCGTATACTTATTAATTTCATTACATTATTTACAGTATACGCAATTCACCCATTACAGATCAACGTAACACACCATCACGCCATAACAGAAATTACAATTAGTGCGATTAAAGCAGTCATGAAAGAATCGAACAATTCCTGCAGTATAAAAGAAAAAAAAAAAAAGAAAAAATATTTTCCAACACTCTCAAGTTTCAACTCTGTGTTGTTCATTTCTATTTGTAATCTGTACAAATAGTAGCAGCATAAAACAGTTTCCACAAGCCATTAGCTACATCGTACAGCAACGACAAAAATCAAATTCTTATTAATGTTCTATAATCTTCCAACATTTAAGTCGAACATATATGTGCCTTTCTCTTTTTAACGTAACATTTCGCAATTTCTGTTCAACCAGAATCAATAACGTTAAGCCTACCAATTAAGATAAAGCGTTCTTCGCGTCCACGCAAATGGAGGCTCAGGATGGCTCGTTGCCTGAAATGTTTCTCGCTGATTTTAAGTTTATAAGGTCTTTCATCGGTGTGGGTTCTTCGATGTTTGATCAAACACTCCCTCGAGCTAGATACGTGGTCGCGAAACTCGCATATCTCCGGCTTCTCGCCAATTCTAATATGCATCTTGGTATACAGTCTCACGATCAATTTACCATACACCTCGCGAGCCACCTGACTTTCTCCAGAATGTGTCCACAAATGTTGCTCATAATAGTAATTATAGAAAGTCTCGAATCCGCAGATTTCGCATCTGTACTTTCTTCCGCTTTCAGGCTGACTGCGAATCTTCATCCTCAAATAGACTCTATTCGGCTTGGCTGGTATCGTCTTCACGCTTTTCGGTCTGCAAAAAGACAATACAGCGTGAGCAGCCTTATAATCGGACGCTTGCACGCACAGAACGAGAGAACATTACTAAGGGAGTTAATGCAGTTCGAAGAAACCTCGAGTCATGGGGTAAGAAAGATGTCTAAAAGCATGGGACACCTCTGACCTGTTTCTTGGACACGTTGCACAAAATTGCACACAGCCATTAACATGCGAAACAACGTAATTTATAATCTCGAGGCCTTTGTGTATGTAATATCCACGTCTCCGTTTACACCGTTAGGAATTTTCGTTTATCGGAAACGATGAGTAACGACATACGGTGGGAATAAAAGTATCGAGTATTTGCTGTCTAAATATCGCTGATAATTCGCGTTAAGATACCGAACGATGTTTAATGTGTGTAAATATAAAACAAAATGTTTACTGTATTGTTTATTCTTATGAATTTGCTTACAAAAGGAGACTATTGTTCTATCTGTTTCGGATAATAAAGAATAATTCGATATCTCGTAGAAATTATTAGAAATAGTTTATAGCGGTCCCATGCACTCATACGATTCACGCAGATTCTGGTTTATATACAGAGCCTATTGCGATTTCTCAACGAATTATAGTGTTATAAGCTTTAAAGGCATTTTATCTTTCTCACTCATTCTCTCTCTCTCTCTCTCTCTCTCTTTCTCTCTTTCGGTAGAAACATAAATCTTGTAACTTACGAATATTCTAACTGTCGTAAATAATACTATCTACATTTAATGATTCACTAAAGCGACATATCACACTACGATTACTAGCTACAACAGTAGGTAAAAAAAAAGAACTATTTTTCCCCTCGCTTTGCGTCAAGTACAACATGAAAAAGCCACACCATAAATAAGACATTCGTTAAAGTATCTGACGCAATTATAGTTGTATTATAAATTAAGAAAAGTGCAATGTCATGAATTAGAATAACGTTTAACTAGAAAACATGATTTCTTAACGTAACTACTGTGTATCATATATGTGTGTATATATACCATAATTGTTTCGTACACTTAACGGAAAAGGGCGTTATCACAAATTGAAGTACTGGTTCTCACGTAATCCTACTCGTTTACAATAGGGTGATTTGTGTGATTGTTTTCACGCTTAATTTATTTGCACTCGTTAAAGCGTTGTTGTAACTACCATCGATTAAGACTTTTCTACGTATTGAATCGGTAATTTATACCACGTGTCTGATAATTCCGTAGTTTGCGGTATCGTAACTCGTTAATTCGGATATCTTAAATGCATATTCTCCCTCTCTTTCTGCGGAAAGATGCACCGCGTAACAACTAAGGCACTATATCATATATCTATCGATCACTAATTTAAAGCACCTTTCGCAAAAAGTTAATAGCTCTATATATAATATTCACGACGAAGTGGTAAATCACATGTGCGTATAAAAGAAAGTTGAGTATTTGAGGAATATAATGTAAAAAATCCTTCGTAGCGTGGACGGCTGTGTTTTGTAAAGTTACACATAAAAAATTTCCTTCGACGCTAACGCGAGAATATAGTATAAAATACAAGATTTCACATACGATATGAACCATTTTATACACTCATGATTTTTGTATTCTATATACGTATGATTGACAACTGTCGTATTAAAGTTACAGGGGAAAAATGTGACGGTTAATTCACAATTAACCTTATTTAAAACGTTAATGAAATGGAATTCTCGTTAGAATGTACATATGATCTCTATTACGCTTTACATTCGTATATGATCGTTGTATAAAATAGTTAAATGCAAATGCAAAGAAAAAACCGCTTGAAAATATGAAAATATTTTTGAGTCGAGTTACTAAAGTAGATTTTAGTATTTTTATCGTGTCAGTGAGAAACTCGGACAGCATATCGTTTCATTCTGTCTTATCCAAAGACAACGCGAAGCATCGTTACGATTCGTTCGCGAGATTTTCAATTTCGTATCGAGCTATAGTCCAATTCATTTACATGGATATCGAAATTACGAACAACGATTCAGCATGGAGCTGTGTCTACAGAATAAATGATTAAAATACTAATTTTAAATATTTCTTTGAACATTTGGATTGTTCCTGCACGATTTCGTCATCGTATAAAAATAAATGACCATTCGAATTACAGTCTAAACATTTACGCTTCTCGATAACAAACAACACAAATATTCCATTCTATCTAGACATAAGTGATTTCCTCCTTCCTTAAGAGAAAACAACTCTTCCACAAGGCCTGAATCGTTTTAGAATAGCTTATTCGATGGGCGCACGAGTAACCCTAACTGGGCAAGAGTATAGTTATCGTATCGAGAGACTGTTCTTGGTGCTGGACCTCCTGTTCCTGCTGCAACTGCTGTTGCTGCTGTTGCTCTTGCTGCTGACGCGCGCTCTGCTTAGCGTGCGTCTTGAGGTGCGAGTTCAGCATGGTTTTCGAGGCAAAAGATTTATGGCAGCACGTGCAGGGATACGGTCGATCGCCGGTGTGGCCTCTGAGGTGCACCACCAGAGTGGTTCGCTGGGTAAACCGTTTCTCGCAATGAGTGCACTTATGCGGTCTTTCTCCCGTGTGCGTGCGTCGATGCACGCTTAGATAGTTCTGCGAGATAAATCCTTTACCGCAGAGATCGCAGACGTGTGGTTTCTCTCCTGTATGCTTACGCAAATGTACAGTCAAATAGGTCTTACTGGACACAGCCTTGCCGCAAACTGGGCAAATATATTCGTTCTGAGTTCCCGCGTTACCGTGCGTCTTCATGTGGACCAGCAGCACCTGCTTCCTGGAGAAGCGTTTATTACAGAGCTCGCAGTGATGCTTTCTCTGAGGAGGCACGTAGTCAGGCTGATGAAGCTTGGCGTGCAACCTCAATCCTTGACGATAACGAAACGGGGCGCTACAGATCTCGCATTGAAAAGGTTTCTCGAGCGAATGCATGGACTGATGCTCCTCGTAGCTAGTGGAAGAAACGAAACCCGCACCGCAGATCTCGCACTCGTACTTGATATTGTGCCGCTTCTCATGAGCTATCAGGCTCTCCCGATGATCGGTAATATAGCCACACGTCTCGCAAGCGTAACTTTCGTTCGCCTCGTGCTCTAATTGGTGATCCTTCAACGCGGATACCGTAGCGAAACTGCAGCCACAGTGCTCACAGACAAGCTGGTCGTCTTGTAATTGTACCTCGTCCTGTTCGTGCATTTTTAAGTGCAGAGCGAGAGCGTGATCGGAAACGAAACCATCTCCGGAGAGGTTGCACTGCACGATACCATCGGAGATGATTATGTCTGCGTTTTCCATCTTCGGTACGTGCAACCGATTCGTGATCAGCAGCTGCTCTGTATCTTCCTGATCGAATATCTCATCATTCGGGCCGCAGTCTTGCTGATCCTGAGGTAGCATCTCAAGCTTTGACACAAAATATCTGGAAAGAAGAGAGACACAAAACGTAGGTCAATCAACGTATTATTTTTATTCGATCGATATACTGTACTCTTTCCTTTTAGGGGGCTTAGTGTCTTTTTTCTTTTATATTTTTTTGTCAGATTATTCGGGGAAAAGTAATTAAATATCCATGATTATATTTTCAGGGTTAAATACTTCATAAAGTGCCTCGGTGCTTTCCAGTATTTTCTTTATCGTGTTTTTATATTTTAAACTTCCTTGCTGCTTGTTCTGAATTCTACTATCTATAGATGCATTTATTTTAAAACGAACAGTTACGTTTAATTTCGGAATATATCACTCGGTGATATCGTAATATACGTCCGAAATGTCAACGCTCGATTTTCTGTACCGAAAACGAGTTTCGCGATATAGCTTCCATTTTCTTTTTATCACGCTCAATCTTTTAAATTTTCAAATCATGTAAATAAGAAAAAAAAATGTCAACAAATTTTACAGCAATATCCGTAAAGCAGTATGTGTAATAATTGCAAGAGAAAAATAATTAACATATATTGTATTGTATTTTTGTCATAATAAAAACACCGTCAAATAAATTATACAATCTATAATTGTGTTATAATAAGATTATATTTTCTGACGCAAATCTCTGCCGTACACTTACCACATGTTGTACTGTTTTATCGACGACCCAATCACGTGATACGAGCCGCCATCTTGGATTTACACTCGACTTTATAACTGAATGTAGGTCGTATTAAATTTTAATAATATCTGTTATTACTAAGAAACGTAAAGTTAAAGAAAAGGAAAAGAAATCTTGCAACTCGATAACTTAGATCGCATAGTTTTGTGTCGAATATCAAGACTTAATTAAAAAGAAAAAAAATCCTGCACAGAAAAATTCCGGTTTTTACCTTAATTATTAAGTATCATAGTTATACGGCAAAACGATTATTTAGCGCTATTAACCATTCGAATTTTTGTTTCTGCGAAACCTTTTAAACCCGACGATAAAAACCAGAATTTGTCATTAATATTTATATGAACACCATAACTTTATATTTTAGTATAATTAAATGTAAATTATGAATAAAAAGAAATGCTATCCCAAAATGGTTGTACGACTTTCTAATAACATTGAAAACTTTAATTAGACGAAAGGTTACATTCAAGAGTGATAAAATTTTCAGAAATCTTTTAGCAACGATTACGTCCAACGATTAATTACAACTATGTTGTTAAGAATATCAATAGCAGAGATCTTATCTTTACCAGGTTACATAGAAATATTTAAGCGTCTTCATACTTACGTTTTACGATACTCATAATTATGTAGTGACCCTGTACTTACATTAATTAGAGGCACATGAATTCATTGTTAATGTTGAAATGTAGACTATATCACTTCTATCTACCGCTTTAACAAAAAAATACTTAAAATAATCGTATACCTCGTACATTAACCGTATACTAATGCTTTTCTATCTATTATAACGAGACTTTAACATCAAATAACTTTCAACGCTTTATACGCATTTACTTAATACAATTAGCCTTCCTATGTAAAATGTCTTTTTCCATTTTATCGATTAAAATTTTCCAAAAATTCTATCTTTTAGGCACATTAAAAAGTTAGTTCGTTAAACAGGTACTAATTTTAGTTGAAGCAAATTTCGTGTTTGAAACCGATATTTCCGAACGAAATTGCGAGATTCTAAGAGTTGAAACGAGTAAAAGATATCCTATCACTTAAAATATTCAGAGAATATAGACGAACAAACAGTATCACAGTGACAACATGCATATTACACATAAGATTAATTAATTAATTAGCAATTTCTTTTACGTATTCCTTCTACGGATCAACAAATTCGTCTGAATCGAAAAATACGATAAATGACCATTATCGTCATAAACCTTGTAAAAACGTTTACACGTTAATTTAAACGAATTCGTGGCATAACGAAAACAAGATTACCTATCCGTAAGCGAATTTAAGGCACTTGAGGCGAGTGACTTTCTAAAAAAAAAAAAAACCATTCATGCCACGCAAAGTAAAAATATTCCGTAACAAAGATCTGCACGAAAGGGTGGAAAAGAGATTAAATTTCCTATCTAATAAATTCCTATTATCCCTATCGACTAAAAACGAATGCAAATACTGAAGTGTTTCTTGCACTATCATCACGACGGACTAAACCTTAATCAACGATAAAACGGTAACTTAAAGAAATCATGAACTTCCGTAACAGAGGCACGAATCGATGTTACCGTGCACGTTTTCAACGTACACGACAACGTTAACAAACGTTCCTCATCGTACCGGCGACGATGGAGTTCAGTGCTTTTTCATATGATTTAGCATGATCGTTCTGGTAACGAATCCTTTACCACACAAGGTGCACGTGTAAGGACGTTCTCCGGTGTGATATCGGCGATGGACGGTAAGCGTGGATGCTTGAGTAAACGACTTCCCACACATGGCACAGAGATATGGCCTTTCTCCCGTATGAATACGTTGATGCACCACGTAATACTTGCGATGTGTAAAACCTTTGCCGCAGACGTCGCACACCAACGGTCTGGATCTATGTACAGCCTTATGGGTAGTCAGGGACTCGATGCTCGCGAATTGCTTCGAGCACGAATCGCACGGATACGAGACTACCGATTTCGCGTTCGACGACGTCATGGTACCGCTAATACTGCTAGTGACCGGATCACCGGAAGACACTACGGTGTCGGTTATTCTATCGTTGCCCGTGAGGATCGGCTTGTGAGTTTTCGCGTGATGATTGTACAGATTTCGTGTCTCGAAACGCATCAAGCACCTAGGGCAGGAGTAAGGCTTCTCCTGACCGACCTCGTGCATCCTTCTGTGCCGCTCGAGGAGCGTGCGATACCGGAAACTGGCTTGGCAACGATCGCAGGCGAACGTCTTCTCAACGTTCACCGACGTCGATATCGTTGGAATCGGTGCGCAGGAGGTTGCCGGCGCAGAATGCGTCACCTCGTGCATCCTCAAGTGACTCAGAGCAAAGAAACTCCGTGAACAAATGGTACACGAGTATCTCATCGGGTTTTCTATACTGTGCTCGAATTCCGGCAGAGTCGGATGACTGGTTCTTATATGATAATTCAGTTTCAGCGCGCTTCGAAACTCGAGGCCACAGGTGGGGCACGGATGGAATTCGGTAACGATCTGCACGTGATCCAAGAGAATTTGATCGGAACAAATGGACGACAGGTGGGACGGAACGGTTTGGTACGTCGAGGACATCATCGGCGACTGATTGGAGAACATAGAGTTGTTCTGAAGCAAGGTACAAGTGACGGGTAAACCGGTATCCCCCGTCTCGGGCGATGGCGAAAGTATTTGACGTAGCATCCCCGACAATCCGCCGAACGTCTCGCTTCCTTCCCTGAAATCGACAAAACCCAAGGACAATGCAGCGGCGAATAGCACCGAACAATACACATAGGCATTGTCTTTGATTCGTTCCTGTGATCTTGCTTTCTCTCTTGCAACAGGCTGCGGTGAAAAATAGATAGGAAAGCGGAGAAAGAGAATTCACGCTGCGTGTTTTCTGCATAGTGACCGTGCAAAGTGCTTGGGCATTGTGGTTTGTTTTCCTTCTAGAGACACAGCAGTACAGAGTGCGACGAGAGCAAGTGCAAATCGAGCTTAGAGAGTTTTGTCGTCATCGTTCTCTGTCGAACATCTTCGCGATCTTCTTCGTATATATCTTCCAACAGATATATTCCTTTCGGAAGATCGCAAAGAAATCTTTGTTAATAGCTTTCACTTTACCTTTGCAGTTTATAATATACAGATGTCTTGACCTTTGAAAATTTAAACGTATTATTTCTATGTGTAAATAAGCTGTTAAATAAGAACGTTATGTTTAATAGTTTCCACTACTTTATTTATATATTAAATGAATTAGTAATGAATCTAATTAAAAACAATGAATTGGCGCGGATTAATTCTAACTTAAGCTATTTCTCTCGCCTCTCCACATCTCTAGACTCAGAATGAAGTAATTGGCATAAACCGAGAAAGAAATGAAAGATTTCTACAGCAAACCAGCAGAAGAAAAAGTTAAGCTACAAAACTTGGCAAAAAAGTTAGAAGGAAGCAAACCCTTGCTAAAAATCATTAACTTTACTAAGATACGATATAATTAGAAATCCAATTAACGTAGTATTAATTGAAAATTAGATTCTCACCTTTAAGTCGATATCCAATATCCACACGGTGTCTTCCTATCTTCTTTCACCACAAATTTCTATCGAATAAAAGGTCCATAGGTCGGAACGCACCATAATGAAATATAATAAATGCACCGTAGCGATGTTAAATGGAAACAAAAAAATGTTTCGAATCTCACAATCACTTCATTTCCAAATCTTAACTCGTAATCGTAACATACGCTGCGCAAGTATGACAATTAATGCATTCCCGTCATTTTTTCAGGTACCGATGCAAACATACTGCGCAAGAAAAAAATTCAAAATAAACTTCAAAAATTTGTTTTTCTACCGGCGCGTAAACGCAGCCTGGTTTTACGTAAGCGTTGAAAAAAAGGCGCGAAATTATTTTACAAAAACAGTTCGGTAAGATCTTTTTGCCGAACTGAAAGTAAAATAATCCGCGACAAAAGAGTACTCGCGATCGAAGTTTGTATAATCGAAGCGCAGCAAATTTTCAGCAAAAAAAAACGCGCTGAAAAGCGCGCTAAAACGATGCAAAAATCACGGATCAGACGTCACGAGTTTTCCTCGGGAATATCGCGCAAATGTAAATAAAAAGCAATAAATTTCATTAGATATAAATTACACTTATGCAGTATTAAATAAGAAATCAGAGTCTTAAAATATACAAAAACTTGATACTCGCCTTAAAAATATTGTCTGAGGTCCTCTTCGCGTTTCTCAAACGATGATTAATTCTTCGACTCTTCGTGTTGTGTCTTGATTAATTATTATTCTAGTTGCTTTATTGTCCTTCGTTTTAAATGAACTTATTTTTTCGTCATAAAACACTGGATTACTTTGAACCGACATCTAACCAGGATGCCAGCCACAAATGGTATTGATCGAAACCGAAGTCGTGGCAAGAACACCACACGGTTTATCAGCGGATTTTTTGTGCGCAGTTAACAGAACGATAGCACTTATAGACTAACCGATATGCTAAATGTAACTATGTGGTCCTGACGATAATGTAAAAGCGTAGGCATTGGAAAGCACGAAGACGACAAGAAACGGTATTTAGTTGTTTTTTTCTCTTTTTTACGAATCATTACGGCCTGGTGACACTTTGTTATGCACCAAGTGTCTATTATATCGTGACGTTAGCTTACGAAATATTAGTTTGTGATTTTTGGTCGGCCTATTGTCGGCTGTGTGCGGCATTTTGTGCCTTCACGTAAGCGTGGGATATTGATACTGACAACATGTAAACATCTGGTTCTCAATTGAACAGAGGGATTAAATACCTGCTGTTACGCGTTAAGTGCTGTACAACAACCGATTCGCTTACATACACACGTTAAAAGACAGGTCATAGAGGTGTTAATGGACTATACACGTAATTAGTAGAATCCCTCTGTTCATTTATTGTACATGTATCAATAATAACTAGAATAGAGTTCATTTAAATAGAAGAATTGAATTATAATCAATACATTCAATCAGTATGTACAGTATAAAGTCTCAACTGTCGTTGAAGTCATTCCTATTGAAATGAACTCTAAATACATGCTATCACATGTAAGAATATTCAGGTATTTTGCAATCTGTTTCGTAAATTAAATATACTTTTCAGAACAATTGATATTTTATTGAAATAATAAATATATTTTATATACGATCAAGCAATTTCATGAAAATGAAGTATAATATAAATTTCAGAAATAAATAAGAAAACAGATATCAAATTGCAAAATACAGAGAGCCAAAGATGGTTGTGGGGTGTGTGTTAACTTACCTTAACATCCCATTGCACCTTATTCGTTTCAATTAGGTGGCTAACTCGTGTAATTTATCTTACAACAAGAAATTTGGATTATGTGCACAACTAATTATCGTAATTATTACAAAAAAAGAAGAAAGAAGTGTAAGTAAATGTATTATTGCTTCGAATATTATATTTACTGCAAAGTGAATGGTTCAAAAATAGTGAATGTTTTTTAAATAGTGATATAAAACTTAAAAAAAGAAAAAAAGAAAAAAATGAAATTATATAGAATATCATAAATATAGATGCAGAATATTTTTGACAAAATTATTATACCAAGATAAATAATTTACTGTAAATTATACAAATCATATGTTTGTACGAAAATAAAAATGTCATTGAAATGTTTGTGTAGGTGTTTGTGATCTCCACAACAAAATGGCACCTTTGGCCCTTAAAATATGAAATATGGATAAAAGACTCACCCAGATTTGGGATCCCCATCAGCTGGCTGTGGCATTGGCATCTCAGGTATATCTGAGATTTTCTGTTGTTGTAATCCTGAAGGACCTGCTTCATCGCATGCCAGGGAAACATTTACAAAAGTTGTAGGCTCTATAGTTCTATTGCTGGGATCTTCTTCGCTTTCTTCTTTTACAGGTAGGCCTGACAAAAACAAGAAATACGTATAAGCGTGTCTTTATTTTTTTAACATAAAACCTCAAAATTAAAAAGAAAAGAATTTTGTGTTATATAGCCTACCTTCATCTCCATCACACTCTTCATCAGAGTTTTCTTCATCTTCGCTACTTTCCTCTTCTTCTTCTTGTTGCGTAGAACTTGTTTGATTTTGCGGTATTTGGTTATGTGTCGTTTGTGAACTTGGACCAGGCACTGCCTGAACGGTTTGTACAGAATTACCGCTTGTGTCCATAGGAACTGAGGTGATTTGTTGTTGATTAGCACTGGATATTATCATGGGAATACCCAAACCCATGTTGTCCATCATACCCATCCCCATATTGTTCTGATGTTCTCCTACTTGCTGCATCACATTGCCATCTAACCTGTTCTCTGTATTCTGTTCTTGTTTCATTACACTCTGAAATTAAATGTGAACAATGAATTTATTTATTATTTTCAAATATTTTATATGACTGAATAAAAATATCTTTCATCTTTTATAACAGGCAACTCGATATAACCTTCAAACAAATCAATCCATTAAAATCTATAAAAATACAAACATATCTTTCTAAAAAGTATAAAAATAAATGACAAATACAATTTAGTAAATCAAACAATTAAAAAACTTACAAAAGTATAAAATTTTAAATAATGTTATCAGTAACAGTACGGTAACTAGGGTAAACATGCAATCGAATGTCAAAAAATAAAAGAATATCTCAACGTTCAGATTTTGTCACACACTGACTGTAATAACAAATAAATGTTTAATGAAAAGAAAATTACCGGATTGAGAACATTGGTAACATATCCCTGTTTGTCTTCTAAACTGACTTCTCCTAGCCATTGTAGAAGTTGTTTCTCCGCGTTTACAGTTGTATTCCAAAATTGATAAAATAATTCTACTTTATACACACAATCGTCGCATATTTTTTTGGGTAACTTATCTTCTCTTGTAACCTGCAATCATACATAAAAGAATATTAATTATAAATGTTCTATTTACGCAAGAAAACTATGTTTCTGCAAAATAGGACACTTTTTCAATGAAACGCGGTATCTGATGAATGATATAAATTAATAATTACAGTAAAAATAAATGAAAAATTTTGAACATGTATAAGAAAATTAAATTTATAAGACATTTATCAAAATTTAAATTTATAAAAGGGATCAAAATAAAAGATGTACTTTATACTCATTCATTTGTATGTTATATAGAACAATTATCATAACAAAATGTTCTATAAAATTATGTATATTAGCTATTTATTATTATTCAGAAAGTAGTTAATTAAAAATTTATAAATAGATATCTGCATTTCCAAATTGTAAATATAAGAATTAAACTAAGCGAATTTTTTATAAAAGGAATTTCAAAATACATCACAACGTTGAAAATACTTATCAATGAAACTAGTCTAAAATGTATAAATAATCAATTATAGGAATTTTATAATAGGTACAATGGTGTCGGAAACAAGATGTCGAAAAGGAAGATTATTCAATTCTAGTTGGCGTAAATAGAAAAGTATTATTACGATTTGCTATTCACGAATAAAAATATCAAAGGGCTGCTACTCAGATGATGTTGAAAAAATTTGGGTAGATCCGCAATACGTTAAGGTAGGGAAAAAAGCGCGGCAAAATTCTATTGAATAATTCGTGGCGTCGTAAACGAGTTAGAGAGATTGGAGAGAAAAGGAAAGATAAACAGTACAGCACTAGCATACAGCTATCTGGATACCGCTACTCTGGAGTTGTTTGTAATTTCTTGTCTACAGGGCGATCTCTGAAATAATCGAGAGCAAATGCATCTACTGGGAGATCGAAAAGTCGTGGACGAACGAGGAAACGCGTTGTAGCTATGAAAATGCACAAAATGGCGGATCGCCATTGTCGAAGCGATGGCGTAGTTGGCTTACCTTGACCGGTAGGCAGGCGGCGATCTTGAGAAATATCTGCCGTACGTCTCCCTCACCCTCGAAAATTGGCACCGAAACACGGTCCTTCACAAGACATAATCGACACAGGTCCAGATAATCGAGGGAGGACATTTTACTGTGTAAAACGCCAGCGCGAGACACAAAACCGCGCCCGTAGACGCGAACGCTGTTTCAATCCAAGCCGGAGAAGACCCCGCGTTCTTCGGTACGCGTCGTTTGCTCACAACACTTCGGCTGACTTCGTCGGCGCTCGGCTACCTTCGTGTATTTTCGGGCAACTTCGCAAATGCTCGGTAAGACGATTGCGTATCGATCACGTCGCGTTCAAAGCCAACAGCTTTTACACACGACAGTTTCGAACATTGCGGAGACTCCTTTCTTCCAATTTCATCGTCATTTAATATGGATGGACTGACACTATCATCGTGAAATCATTGCCACACGAGAGAAACCGAAACCTCAACGGTACTGATTATGTTATTTAGTTGATTTTTTATTTGTTAATATGATTTAAGCTGTACTTGAATTAAATCGCAACATGGCTACAATTTCTGTCGATCTTATGTTCCATTTTAAATAATGAAAATATATGTAATAATGTAGGGTATCATGTTGGACTTGCCTTTGATATGTACTGATTGATCGTCCAGGTGTTTAAGAGGTCGGCCAAGTTAATGCAAACCTATCAAATTTTCATGCACAATTACTCCCACTTCCACGCGCGGATACAATCACGCATGATCAAACAGACAGGGCACGCTTGTCGATGAACAATAAGAATAAATCAGAGCTCAGCAAAGACCGTATTGAAACTGTTATATCAAAGGTATACTGAACAGTTATAATGAAACTAGAACTTTATGTTGTTTATCTCCTTTCAGAAATTAAATTCATATATTTCATATTTTTCCGGTTTGCAAGTTTCTTTTTTTGCGTTTTTGAGCATCCGGCAATAGTCACGTGACTCGTTCGTAAATATTAGGAATATTTTTTAATCGTTTCGTTAACGATCTTATATAAAATTGAGTTATTTTTAAAATACGATATAAGAAATGAATTTATGCAGGAAAGTACTAAAAACTTTTCAACATTAATCGTATATAACGAATTCGCTATTACATTCGTCATTGCTAACAAAAAATGCATTAGATCTATGGATATGATTGCAGGAGCGTAATAAAGTAGGTTCAAGTTAATAAATTAGTAAATATAAAATGAATTATTGATAACATTGAATAATAATTACTATAAATATTTAAAACATGTCGTAATTCAATATTTTACAGAAGCATGGAATAGAATTTTTAAAATATTTATCCTCTATGAAATCTCTGTTGTGTTTGAAAAATATAAAAAGAATTTGAGTTTGATGTACAAATTTCAGCTCTGTGGCTGAACTAATTCAGCTCTGAGGTAATCGACAGGAATTTTTAATATCGCACTAAATAAAAGAGACATAGCCACGTAAAAAGTAACATGGACAGCACAGTGCTGCCACGTTTCTACGTCGTTGAAACTGCGTAACTTACCCTCATGTCGTTAAAGATATCAATGACCGGCCTCTTCTTTTCTATTGGCTGTATGAACTTTGTTGGATATGACAACCTGATTTAAACTGCAGCTTACACTACTTTTCAAACTTTTTATGGCATTCAACGCGTTTCTGCGATAGAATATCTTTATAATCTGTGCAAGAGCTTTTTGTATTGCCAAAACATTTTTATTTCTATTTCAATCAAATCAAAAACGTACTTTTCATTATTTCTCTAATTAAGTATCATGGAGTTATTAAAAAGTTATTAAAAAATTAATTAACGAAATTCCGATAGAACAATTTTTGTCAGCCTCGTGTCTCTCGGTTTTGGTTTTATTATTCGTTAGGTATATTTGGATAAAAATAACGGTATACACTTTAGATAAAAAAAACTGCTTTATTGTGGCAGAGCACATGTATTATCATATACCAGCATATAATTAGGAAGTCCATAGTAATTTACAAATTACGATCCACTTAAACGTCGGTACACGTGGCGGTGTATGCAGGCAGATTTGGGAACCGATTTCGATCACACGCATGCTGTTATCGTGTTTATTTTCTTCTTATCGTCTCTTCGATCGTTCAGCTTTTATTATTTCGTTTAACATTAATTTTTCTTTCGATACTTTTTTTTTTTGGATGGGGAAGGGAAGGAGGGGGACCTTCTAAAGATCCTTGCAACGACGGTGCATTATTTATAATACATGAAAACGAGGGATATGTGGTCTTCTTCCGTTCGATTTTCGAGAAAATTGTACCCGTACAAGCCATTAGGATTTCTATTCCCGTATTCTCTCTTTTTCTTTCAATGAGGACCTTGTTTCGCATCTTACAAGTAATCGTGATTATCGCAAGTGACAGTACTCCCAGGCATTTTTCTCCTTTTCTTTTTTTTTCTGCTTTTCCATTTTTTTTTTTTTTTTTTTTTTGGTTTTTCAATAAACAGGTTCTCGTTTTTTGTTTCATTAATTTTAAGAAAGAATGAAAACGGAAGTAAAAGCCTTGCGTATCTGCATAATAAGATATTTCCTCGGAACACGATTCGATCTGAGAAAGCTTTCGTCAATCCTCCTGTTATTATGTACATCTTAAAGAGTCTTGAATTTGAATTTATTTAAATTTCTTATTGATTTCCTTAATAGATGGCATTTCATTCTCTTTCTTTTTTTTTTTTCTCCTTTCTTCTTTTCGAGTTGTCAACGATTCTAATATAACTTTTCATTCGTTATGTATATATACAATACAGAGCACGATTAAATTTGTAGAGAAAGGAACTAACCTTCGAATTCAATTACAAAGGGCACAGGTGAAATGAACATTCTTAATACGATATCAAACTATTTTGCGAATAGATAGACGCATCTAAATATTAGATATGAAATCTGTTACTATAGTTTCCTTGGTGAAACGGTTACAAAAACGAATAAAGTCGTAGTCGAAAGTTTAATAGGAGGACTAATTATTAAAAGAACCTCGAAAATGCAACACGCCAGATTTTGTTTGTTTCTTTTCGCTCTCGCGACTTTGACTTTTTAAGTTCTTTCACTCTTGCTTTCTTCTTTTTCTCTCTGTTTTGCTCGATTCTTAATTCTTTCGCAGCTTATAATCCGCGTCGTCGATGAAACCGCGATAAAACAGTATTATTTCGATGCTCATATATAGTTAATTAATTAGTTGTTAATTAATTTGTTAAATTCGTAACTATTTTACTTACACTTTATGCTATAACAATAATAGCAAAATTGCGTGAATGTGTGTCTAAATTTTCTCGTTTAATCTCATATCTCTCCGAGTTGTCGTAATGTAAATTTACAGCTATTACAAATATTATTGTTTATATTCGTGTAAGGTAACATTAATGGTAATCATCGTGTTCTTTATCTACTAATACAAAGTTAAAAATGCGGGAAGTTGAAATTTCGCGGTAACGCCGCAGAATATATTCGTGTATATTATACGTACATGCATGTTGAAGTTCGAATTTCTCGCTCGTACAAATTGAAATTGACGGAACGTGTCGCTGATAGTCGCAATCATAAACGACGAATCGAAAAATTATAACGCTTCTTCCACCCACGAAATATCTGCACGGAGACTACAAAAATTAAGCCTGTTCTTTATTCCTATTATCAATTGAATGAATTTTATCGCGACCAACAAAATGAGTCATCGGTATATCAAGTAACACGTTCTCTTAATTTCAATTTTCTATCTTCAAATTTCAAAGTCCAATTAGCGGTTTGTTGAATTTCTAAGCCAATTACGTATTCAACACGTTAATTCAACCGATCGAATCGTCGAATGTGGGAAACAAGCGGAATGAAAATTCTTGCGCACTCCTCGCCTTTATCACAATGGTGTCCGGTTTATCGATACCTTTCTAAATCTTTTAAGTACTATGATTTACCTCTTAATTTGTTTCTTTATTTACCTCTTATAATTTCATCTCTTACTGAATATTCGATATAGAATAACTCGAGTTTCTTGGAATTTTCGATCGATTTTTCTTCGATTCGACTCTACGTTACGTCTAAAGAGGTATAAATGATAAGTACCCTCGTGAACCTTTGAGCCTTTTCGTATCGAGAGACGTCAGACACCACGTGCAAAAATTTCTCACCCGCTTTTCTCTTGATCAGGGATCAGAACGACTGATGCTTCTTTTTTTTTTCTTTAAACTTCGCTTCTCTTTTTTTTCTTCGTTTTCTCATTTTTTTTTCATTTTTGTCGCCGTTAAACCTTAACGTCGTCTCGCTTATCCAGCAATACTGGGACTAATTAAGCTAGCGTTGGTCGAAGATCGTTGACAATTTATATGCATATTTAATACATTTCACACCATATCGATATAAGACCTCGTTTTAACAAGCTAAAATGATCAAACATCGATGGGAGAAGGATGGTAGGAAAACGCAATCTTCTATCGCGATCTGAACGAAGCATATGTCTGACTTTGAACGGTATAATCTCCTTCGCACCTGCTACGCGTCTCTTCGAGTTTCGATCACACCTTGACGATCCATAGTATGAGCTATCGCTTGGAATACCTTAACTCGTTATATCTTTAAATTATTTTAAGTTACCTTTTAAATTATTCGTTTGTATGATTTCCCTTGTACAAGGGGCAGGAGTCTATCGTATGCAAGACTTTGTTTACATTAGTAAAATTTCATCGGTTTGCAGTTACTCGCATCCGTTAGTTATCAGGGATGAAAAAGTATTCTCGCGATTCGGATGTGAAATCAAAGTTGCGAATGCATGAATTGGTAGTTAACTGTTCGCGTGGCAACCGGTGATCGATAAAAAAAAGAACGTTCGACGATGAACGCAAGCCTTCATGGTGAGTTTTAATCGTCGGTGAAATTCTGTTCGTTTTTACGGCCATTTGTACTGCGGTAATCTTGAAAATTGTATATCGTACGCGTTATCGTGTTTTGAATTAATTAGAATCGAAGAGTTTGCAGCAAGATCGTGATGTTCGCGATGGAGTTGCTAAAAAGTGAGAAATAAAGACAGTTAATGATGTATATCGTTAATGCAACATCGTCGTCTTATTAAAATAGTCTAAGAAAAGGTTTTATATAATATCCTCGTTCTCGTTATCCTCTATGAACAATACGATGAATTTTACATATAAAAGGAAAATAAACTCTTCAAGCGTCTCGAAGGCTTAAAAGGTGGCAAATCAATGCTATTAAAGGTCACGTGTTACAGACTATGGTGTATTCATGAAACTTCGTTAATGAAAACTATCTATAACTCGTTATTCATCGATCACGAAATACATTCTTTACTTGTTCTTTAGTAATACAATTTACCAAAGTAATACAAGGATTCGAACATGCATAAGAAAACGATGGCACTTTAATATAATTCGTGACATTATTTTGAGCTTGCATCTTGTGGGAACATTTTAGATTGATTTTTTTTTTTTTTCACTCGTTTCTCGTTTCTCATGTTCATTTTCTCGTTGATTACGCCAGTCCATGCTCTCTAATAAGCCACTCAAAGTCGATCGTTTAATGTAAACAAGCTCTTTTCATACTTGCCTGTCTTTCATCGATATCTGTTCAATTATTTTTTTAACGCTTGCGCCATTTTATTGTTATTTTTGAATCCGATATTCAGCTAGCTCCAGATCACGTTTTCTTTTTACATATATATATATTTTACATATATATATATATATATATATTATAACTGTCTTCGTATGATCGTCACAAGTTAAGATGTAAAACAGACAGATATGCAACGTTACTTATTTAACTTTAGTGACGTACTGTCGTTATTTTATCGTCGAACGAATTTTCTTCGATTTTTTTCCTCCCCGCGTAAGCGTTTCCATTATGGTATCGTAAACGTGTGCCCGCTTTTACGACACTAAGAAATCAACGATAAAATCGAAACGATATTCGTAACTTGCTACAGACTCGAAGGTGTTAAAGGGTTATACAAGCTCACTTATTCTTTACGGAATCTTGCTATAAATATAAAGTATTATCCGAATGTCTATATAATCCTTGTATTATCTTAACACGCTATAACGTCCATTTGAGAATAAAAAAATGTATATCAGATTATTAGAAACTTTATTCTCGCAGGGGAATAATTTCTTTTTTTTTTTTCTTTCTTTCTTTTAAACGTTAATATAATAAATCTCTAATTTAATGTTAAATGGATGAAAGGGTTCGGGTAGGGGATGAATGACCTCAGACTCGGTGGCGAGGGGTCGACGGTGTGGGGGTATGTAGTAATCGGTATTCATAATTTTGAAAAGGCTACCGTCCTTTACTGCTAATTAGTGTAAACGATCAAAAATCATTTGTTCGGTAGGAGGAGCGTACAAAATGAAATCCCCCTCGATCGAAAGAATGTGAAATGCGGCTTTAATCGTAGATTCTTCAAATTCGTTTCCACATGACGCTCACATGGTCGCGTAACTCGTTTAATCGAGCGAGTGAAAATTGTCATTCCAATCGACGCGATCGTTGTTTGTTCCTACCCTAATATGTTACAAATGGAATTCGTTCGTTCGTTCTGTCGTAGCGAGTGTTAACGAAGACACAATAAGTGTATCGGATTCCACGAATTTTTCTCGTCACCTCTCTTAACAGAACATCTGCCGATAGGTATGGAATTACGCGATCGAATAAAACGGTCAATAAGTACGGACTGATTCATCGGCTCGCGAGCACTTCCGGTTACGCGGCCGCGTTCGTCAGCCTCGACTGCGGTTCATCGTTTTCGTTAACCCTTGCAATGCAAATTATGACAGCCATGAATGCGATTAAAATTCGTCGATCTCTAAGGTATCCGTGCCTCGAATACGAGGTAATAAATATGCCAGTCGAAAGGGTAATTTCGCAACAAGATTTTCATACGCTGAGACTCTTTCTCTACCGGTTGGGTTTTATCCACCGATATTTCGATCGATGTATCGATCGACGTGGTGGTATGCTCGTGGTTTATTCTTATAAACGGAATAATATCGAATGCTACTGATTCGCGTAGTGTCTGAGAATGGTCGATGAGTGTAACAGATGTTGCAAGGGTTGACGAGTTGTTCGCATCGTCACGTAACTGAAGTGACGCGACGCGATAACGAAAGAGAAAAGAGACGGAAACGAGAACGCAGATGAAAACGGAAAGTACGTTTGAAAAAATAAAATGCCTGTCACATTGGGTTCCTTTTTGCCGGCCGTTTTGGAGTTCACTCGGCGGACCGAGCGAGGGCAAACGAAGTTTCACTACTTACGCTACGCGTGTGTGTGTGCAATCCAGTGTGTACGTCTTAAAAATACTCGAATACGTTCTACTTGTCGATAAAAGGCAAGAGAATTGTTCCGCTCGTGTTCGACTATAGTATGACGCGTTTATCTATTCGGAAATACGTGCTTCGTGTCTCGATGGATTGACTTTTCGTAGGTAAACTGTAACCAATAAAGATCAAGGGACGATATTTAATTCTCGTGTTCTACGGCTTTTGGATTGGTTATCTTCGTTAGATAATATGTATATGTGTATATATATATATGTATGTATGTATATATATATTTTTTTTTATTATTTTGGTTTAAATTTAATTCATCCCGATCGAGCGTCCGTGCGTGACGAGATCTACGATAGCTAGAGTTCTACGTAGTTACGGCCACGATCATTCAACGATCTGGATCATTAATTAAACGGTAGTTAAATGGAAAATCGAGAATGGGATTTTGTCATGTACCCGCGCACTCACATGATAAATAATATAATGTTATCTTGCAAGTATGTACTTATACACATCGTAAGATCGAAACGCCTTAATTCCGTACACCTAGATTCGTACGTGTAATATCTATAGTTCATTATATACAAATTGTAAAATGCCTTCTTAATGAAAAAAGTCGTGTTCATCCTGTGTATATGTCTTTTGGTGTGTATATATTTGTTTATAATATATATTTCTCTCTTTCTTCCTTGTAGCAGTGTGAACGCAGATATATATAGTTTCTTCTTTCTTCTCTTCTCTCCCTCTCTCTCCCTCTCTCACGTGCTTATTTTTTGGTTTTTTTTTAAATTTTTGTTTTTGTTTTTTGGTTTGTTTGTTAATGCTTCTTGGCTACGGAACACATGATCACTCACACACTCCATTTTTGTTTGTACATGCACAACACTTGCTTCTGAGAATCAGTTCGCCACTTTGATCGCATTCGTGACGAGATTCCGACTTTTGTTTGTCTCGTGTCGAAATAGTTCGATGGAAGATCGCGTAGTTTCGTTAATTTTACGGTGTGTAAAATATCACCGACGAATTTACGTCAAAGAAATGCCATTTTTAATATACTGGAAGAGCAAGTAGAAACAATAGGAAGCACTCGAATTCCACTCTCTTTGGAATTATCTTTTTTAGGCAAATTCTTGTTCGGTTGCCGATCGTTTGTAATTATTCATTGAAATTTCGAGCTACGATTAAAACAATTATTCCATGAAATTGCCAATGTTTCTAACAATGGCCATTTTTAATATTCTTTTAACGAAATTTCAGTCGATCGAGCGGTACTCGATAAGAATCTCGTCACTTCCGCGATTATTTCGCAATAACCGTGCCATCCACCAACCAGACAGGAATATTAAATTCCTCGTATTTGTTCAAGAAAAAACCTTCGATTTCTCCAACAAAAGCTTAACCCTAAGTTATCTCCTAATCTTTGGTCACCTACGCGCCAACTCAATCCAGCAATTAACCCCGAAACTACCGATCTACGCTATCAAAATTCATATCGATATAAGTGGTCATCGATCATTAATCTGTCAAAAAAACAACGATCAATTTTCCCAAAAAGTCTCTGCACATTTTTACCGATTGAGCCAGTCATGTTGACTCATTCGATAGTTTCAAGGTGAAAACAAGATCATCTACCGATTATGTCTATATATCCTGCCCCGATTCTCGAACACCACGGAACACAAATTCAAGCAAGACGATAGGAAAATCGAAATTTACCGATCAATCCCGTCTGAATTACGGTGTGGATGGAACGGTGATTGGCGAACATGGAAAATCGAGCGGCTGCGAGAACGATCCCTAGGATTAAATTCGTTGAAGCGGTCGCCAGCAAAAGCTCTCTCTCTCTTTCTCATTCTCCTCGTTACAATCTGTCCCTGTTTCGTCATCGAGGAAAAGAGCGTGAAACGGACACCAGCAGTTCGTTAGAACAGCAGGTCGTCAGATGCTGGCTCGATGTTGATGCAACGGCGGCAGTTGCAGCAACGGCGTCAACGGCGGCGGGCGTAGGTCGCTGGCCTCGTCCAACGTTGACAGCGGCTCCATCGGCAGCAGGTGCGAAATCTTACCGGGCGAGCGACGGACCGTGAACCGCGGTCTCCGTCGTTTCTTTTGGAAGCCGCTGCAGCAGCAGCTGCAGACCGACGTCTCGTCGTCCAGCGATATCGTGTCACCGTGGTTGCCTACTTGGCCCGACAGTATCGAGCCGTTCGCCGTTATTACGTCGCCCTCCAGGCGCACTGCTCCTTGCGCAGCCTGCGTCATAACAATTTTCTTTTTTGTCTCTTATCCGGAATCGTTAGAGCCGCGAACGCGTTCGTCGTCGTTTCGCGAAGCATCGTCGAACCGAGTTCGCGAATTTCGATCGTTTTGCTTTCGGTTTAGTCGGAGGGAGGTTGGAACGCGAGGGGTTTGTTCCACGCTTTTCTTGTATTGATTCTGGGTAGGTGGCGGGGTTCAGGGTACGCTGGAGGCTGGGTACCAACCCTTTGCGGTCCGGCGTCACGTGTAGGCTTTGAATGTTACGTAGCAAGTTTTTCCTCCTCTATGAGTCCCACGGATTCGATCGATCGCTGTTTTTCACGATGTTCCGATCGTTAAGATAGAGATCTGTTTGGTTTTTCTGTGAAAGTGGATGGAGGTTCTGGTTCGTTTTTCGTCGTGTATCGGTATAGCGATTAGGTGCAATCGAGTGGAAAGTTCGAGCGTTGCTGCATCGAATGTTTGAGGGATCAAAGATACTATGGTGTATTTTATCAGTTATGGAAGATGGTAGTGACGGTGATGAATTCTTGCATGAGAAACTCAGACCGCAAAAGGTTATTGAAATTCCTTTGTCGTCCCGTTGTCGAAAACGTAGAAAGGGGATATTATTTCGTTTCGACTGTGAATTATCGGAACTCGCTTGAATTGAATATATTTTTTCCATTATTTTACATGCGAAAGGGACCGAGGAGTTTGCTTTCCTGTTCTATTCGATCATTAACTTCTTTTAGAATTCTTTGCCGGGAAAATGTCCGAAAGTATCGAGGGAAATAAAAGGGGGAAAAAGGACAAAGTGATGGATTCTCGAAAAAGGTATATCAGGCTATTATCAGAGAATGACGGTGACGTTTTCCCGCGTCTAAAATATTTTTCTGAAAGATCAATACTTTGATGGATGACGTAAAAGCTGCCGCGATGTTCCTTACCTGTAGAGCCTCGGCCTCGTCTCGCCTTTCGTCCTCCGTATTCATTGTGACAAGTCTCAGCACCAATAAATTGAGGGAGGCGGCGACGATGGCCAAGCCGAATAAAATGAATATCAAGGCGAACATCACGTACTCCGGCTTGGTGTTCAGCGCATTATCCTTTTGTAGCGCGACCATGTCGCCGAATCCAATGGTTGTCAGGGTGATGAAACAATAGTAGATGGAGTCGAAATATGACCACCCTTCGTACCGAGAGAACGCCGCGGCACCTCCCGCAATCGTTAAGCAAGATAAGGTCGTCACCACGCAGATAAGATTTATTTCTGAGGCCTGAAAATTACGTAATTTTTACAATTGCTTGGGCTTCTTGATAAATCCACCCGCATGTGTCTAACTGCATATATCATTGATTAATTTCGCGATATGGCCTAATTATTAAACAAATTCTATAGTGGAGGGATTTGGAATTTATTTATTTAATGCATGTTTACTGCAAAATTAATTGATCCAAGCTATTATTAATCGAATTTGCTCTTTTCTCAATGGGACATCGTTTACTTTGACATTTAGATATCTGGACCAATGAAGTCAGGCCACATTTTGTATTGATCGCTCGATATGAAGTATGCAAAGGAAAGTAAAGTTTATAGTTTTACCTGGACATCCTTACAGTTAAAAAGCTTCTTTACGTTCCGTATTACGACGGACGAGAACTTATTCAGACGCTCTCCTATGCTCTGGAACATTACGAGTCCTAACGGGATACCGATGATCGCGTAGAACATCGTGAACACCTTACCGCTTATGGTGTTCGGCGTCGAATGTCCGTAACCTAAAAGTCAACCCATAAATACGGTATAATTCATTCGATGAATTTAATAATCGGGCTTGCCACACGTGTCGTGTGCAATGAAAGCGAAATACCAGAAATCGAGTATTTTAATCAAACTTTATTTTTGTAAAACATAATACGCCTGTATTCGATATTAATAATAGTTCATTGTTTATTTCAAATATTTATTTTAAACAGAGACTTGACGTATCGAATAACTATAAAGCCATTTAACGAAACTGTCGAACAAAAATGGAATTCTATTTTTAATAAATATATTTCGAATCGGCTTTTACAGTGAATATGTCGGGGTAGATACTGCTTCGTAATTAAAAATATACTTTTAAATATTATTCAAAGTTTGACTTCTTTTGCACATTCTCTTCACCAACCTCTCTTGTATCTACGTCGATATATTTCTGCCAAATTAAATTACGATACGAGAGAGTACGTTTTACACGTGGAAACCAAAGTGAATCGAACGAAATGGAACGTCTAGTCTAGCTCGACCTGGAATAGCAAAGAGTTGAATGACATTACGGTGGAATTTCGTGAATCAAAACGTACCGATAGTGGTGAGGACCGTGGTCGCATAGTAAAACGCCCCAGCGAATTTCCACTGTTGACCGGCCTTATGAGGTTCCGTCTTCAGCACCACTGTTTCCATGATCTTGAAGTCGTCCTCGCTTATATTGTACTTGCGTATAACCATCTTTTCAATGGCTGTCGAGAAAACATCAGGGAAATTACCTCCCGCGACATTACAGGGAGAGAATGATTTTTTAATAATATTCGTAATGAAAGCGACGAATTTAAAAAGCGACTCGCCTGCAGCTGGTAAAATCGGGGTTTCGCGGTTAACGGTAGAAAGTAAATGACAGAGGAGCTATTGGGAAGTTCATTTCCTGTTTGGAAGGCGACAGAAAATCGATACTTTTAATAAAATTACTTTTCAAGCGCTTCGAGTCGTTTTTTCTCAGCTCGATCTGAATTTCCATCGCTCGAATACGCGAATGGGCATTTTCGGGGGATGGAAATTTAGAAAATTACGACATCGACGAATTTCCCAAAATTCGACGAACGTTCTTATGCTTTATTTCATCGGGCAATATCTATCGACGAGAAATGTGTACCGTCCAATGCTTCCTTGCGTCGTTGCTCCGTATCGGACTCGAGAAAGTCGAAGATCGCAGCGCCGAAGAGGAGGTAGGTGAGCGTGAAGACGATCAACGATAGGGTCCGGATGTTTTGCTTCTTCATTCTCTAGTGAGCCACATGCTCACTAGCAGGGCCCCGGCCCTAACTACTTGCATCGCTCAGTGGGGTACGATTTGGTGTGCCGGGCCCATGACGACCCCTTCTCCTTTCTGACGATGCTCGGGAGGGGGCCCTTCCTCTATTTACCGAGCGCTACAGACCCGGCACGCGACTCCTCTTCTTCAGGGTGTCTTCTTCCTTACAGAGACTACCTTGTAGTCGCTTTCGTTCATCTGAAAAACCGTGTTCGCATTCCGATTAACACTAGAAAGACTGAAACTTAGTATATACCTATATTGCCCAAAAGCAGTCAACATGACTGCATTGCGAAAGAATAACTAATATGTAAAGAAATTTATTTAAAATTAATTTTCAATATTTTTTTATATTATTTACAGTTATATAACAGGTTATTAGTAAATATTAACAATAAAAAATATAATTTATGCATTATTATTCGTCGAAGAACTGGCTCTAGGCACTGCGTGCTGTCCTCTCGTTGATGCCCGCTCTCGATCGTCATGGAACGATCGAGAGCTATCGCGAACACAAAGTCGTCGCTATCAGATTCGCCACTATCAAATTCATCGCTATCAAAGTCGCCGACCGTCGGGGTTCGCGTAACGGCGACGGCTCTCTTACAATAATAAGAGTCATTTGATTATTTTAAATTTCCCAAGCAGTCAAAACGACTGCTTTTGGGCAATATAGGTATAACGCATATATATATATATATACCGGAAATGAAGGAGGGGGGAGGTAACTACAATTATGAATAAACGCATTTATATGTTGTACAAAAAGTCACAAAATTCTAAGAAATTGTATCATTATATACATAATTTTTGTTCTACTTGAAATTAAAAAGCAGTCAAAATGACTTGCTCGGGCAATCTAGTGTTAAAGTCTACATTATTTCCTTATTCTTAAAATAATTTTTTAATAAAATATCTCGTCTGTCTACCGATCTATAATCTAAATTTTCACGTGAAACTGAGACGTCTGTGCAACGTTTAGAACGGTATGATTTACCCCGAACATGACAGCGAATGAAAAATTAAGCTAGTCAAATTTCCATAATTAGAAATTCCATAATTAAAGGACAAAATATCGATTGAAGTTCAAATTTTGGTTGGCTATTTACACAGCTTCGTGGTAAAGCTTCTCGCTGTGCAAATGACGATAGATTACGATGACCGAGTTAGCTCGTCCCAATCCAGAAGTTCCGGAGTTTTGCCGTATGACAGTATTTGGGTGCTTTTGAGAGAAGCGAATGCAGATTTCTCTATGACCGATTCTCGCGAGTGACGATGACCACCAAACAATTTCTACATTGGGACCGAGCGATAGACCAGGCGAGTGGTTACGCGAACGGGTAAAGGATGCGAAGGCAGAAAGGAGCCTTTACCAGGCGAACTCTGGATATTCGTATTGGTTCTGCATTTCGAGAGGTACCAAAGGATCTCTTTTCAACGTGATCTGAAAGTTAGTCGCGATGCGACGTTAGAGGTTCCGAAGATATAAAAAGGCATAATCGTCCTTGCCGCTAAAACGGGATTCTTTTGAGAATCGTCCTTTTCTCCTTCGAGCGAGTTCAACCGAGAGATATCCGTGAGGCGGCCATGTCGAGCAAGAAATCTGCTGATATAGAAGAACTCACCTGCAGCCTGTTCCGGGTTCTCCTTTACGTACAACAAAGGGTTGAGCAGAATGATATGGCAGTGCTTTCGCTGCTCCCACTGCCACGTTCCCTCCATTCCTCAGCTTAGCGCCCAACGTTTTCAGTGCCGACTGAAATGGAACAATGGCATTTTCATAATTTTACTCACTTTTGGACCTTCTAATTATTTCTTATTTTCGCTACTCCCGTTATATTCGGGTAACACGATTACTTCAATTTAATTCTCACGTTATGTTGTTAGGTAATCATCGTTGTTTATCTTCTTTATAAATCTAGTGGAAAGTTTCTGTCAGACTGATACACTGCTGCATCATGGGAATTTTTAAGAGTTACAGTGATAAACAGTGATGAAATAACCCTTCCTCTTTTAAATTGTCATATAAAAATAAATTTGTGGCGACCATCATTCGCATCCTCGCCAGTAGATGGATTCCTAGATGAAGGAGGTTCGAGGATTTTCTTGCATGTCCTCGGTGAATCCTCGACCTCCCATAAACAGAAATTCCTATACCACTTAAGTATCCCTGTCTAAGGCAGGGCCTGCTAGAAAGCCTTACTCGACGAGTCCACTAGCAGGCCCAGGACGAAATGCTATACTCTTCCTTTTCCTTTCGTCCTTCTACTTGCTAGCCTACCGTGACACAACGACAAGTGGTACCAACGACCAGTATCATAGGAACACCGAAGCCACCGTCAGGAACCACAACATTCTAGACTGAGCGTAGCAACGAAGACAAGATTATATAAATCCCACAAATCATTTGAAAATTTTTGTGCATTCTACGTCTCCTCAGACACGTCTATTAAAATTAAAAATGCGACGATAAGATAACACCTTTCTAGTTTCTGTCGAAAATCTTATGTAAAGTCTATTCTTAATTTTAATCTATGTACCTCGGGAGATAAAGAATATAAATAATTCGCAAATCGTTACTTTGTTTCTCAACTATTGTCAGTTCGACGAGCAGGAAGATTATAAGTAGCGCTACTTATGCTAATAACCATATTGACCAAAGGCAAAAAATTCAACGATATAATAGCGTTAAATCGAGTTACTCGTCTCGTCCCCGATATTGGACTCGTTGTCGAGAATTCCTTAACGTCGCGATTCCTTAATTGTTTCGCGAATAAAGAAATCAAGTATCTCGCGTTGTTAAATGAATAGCGGATCGCTCGGAGCACGAAAGCACGCCATCTTCCCGTCCTGTTGAACTTATCGCGATTATTTCTTTAAATGTCAGAGACTGTGCCCTAGATAGGAAATCGAGCAAAAATTACAAGTCGGTGCATCTTTAATCTGCTCCACACCGGCCTCACCTGCTCGGATCGGCGCGTTTTATGTCCGCATCGGTTCCACGAACTCTCGTCTTAATGGATATCGATTAACACCGGGAGAACGATACGTCAAAGAATCATAACGCTGCCCTACAGGAAGTTAAGCAAGGGTAAAAATAAGCTCGTGCGTTTTACTCGGGGAATTATCGCTGCGACTGTGCGATTTTAGGAAACAGCTTAAGACATCGAAGTTTTGGCTAAGTCGATGCTCGTCTAAGCGACATCGACGTTCGGTCTATGTACATCGATTAATTTTACGATAAACTTTCAGAAAGTTATTAACTCATTAAACTGCTATTCGAATTTCAGATGATGCTCTCAGGAGGCCGCAATAAAATTTTCATTACGTTACGTAGTGCTATATAATTTACGTTATACGTACATCGTGCTTTTATTCGAATTTCGCATTGTCCAATAATACACGTTTTATTTCGTAATATTGTCTAGCTGTCCTGTGATGTTCGAAATTCCTCAATCAACGGTATTCAATTTTCGTCAAACTCACACCGAAAAATAATCCACAAATGAAAAAGCTCTCCTTTTTTTCTTTTTTTTTGTTGTAAAAATGTCATTTTCAGTAAAATCAATTTCAAGCTTTGGTTCACGAGCGGCAATCTGAAGTATCGTGGATCGCATGTTTGACACCACTGTGCCAAACAATTGGACAATCCCCAGTTGGTCACTAATGGCGAGAAAACAAGTTCCGGTCACAAGTGACCGACGTAGTAGCGAACGCGTTGAGTTATTAATTAAATTTATCGATGCAATAACGTTAACGATGAATTACGGTTATTCCTCCGTGGATTTACTTTTCTTGCGAGGAAAGAATTTGCTTTCAGCGCGGTCGTCCAACCATGTCGTCGATTTGCCAATGGATTTTCTAGGCTATCACGAATCCATGAATAATGCATATTCCTGCGTTATAGCAGTCCGGCGTGTACTCATTATTGTTCTCTCAGCCTATTAAATCTGGATTTACGCTAATGGTCCGCGCTTTGTGACGAGGACCACGTCACGTTTGTCAGCCACGATGAGCCACGTTTTACTTTGTGTCGACGCGCGTTTATCGGCAAAAGTCAACGCCGGACGTTCGCGTAAACGTGGTTCCAGCATCATGTGCCGTTGTCACGTGTTTAATTATACTCCTCTCGCGCACACCGTGATCTGTCTTCTATCGTTTGGCTCTGGATAGTTTGCGTTGGTTACGTGCCTTCCTTTGATACCGAGAAACCAAGGCACATAAATTATTAATACGACTTTCGTTCAATTTCTCTTCAATTTTCATTCAATTTTCCGTATCGTTATTCCGTACGTGGCTCCTACACAAGTCGCGGAAATATTATTCCGAGATTCGGTTACTTTCAGTGAATTATCCTTTCGGAACGGAGATACGTCCTTGCGAAGATGGTATAGGATACAGTCTCCGATGGAACGAGAATCGAACGGCCGTGACGTTCGAGAGAATTTCATCTATGCGACACGGTTAAGGTTTTCAATCTTGACTCACAGTGTCTCTTCAACGGAGTGCTGTAAAAGTACCCTTGGGATCCAGAAGCTCTTGATTACGGCATTTAGGATACGATCGGAGCATTTCCAATAAGTCAACTCGCGCTCTGCAGACGCTCGTTGTATTGCTTTCCCTGCGATTTATATTTAAATGTCCGTGACAATAAACGACAGGACAAAAGTTAAGAGACACAGTCGGATAGCCGGGGGCTGAGATAACCCGAGGTCGTTATTTCTTCAAACATATGAGAAGTATATCGGGCAAATGTTTGATCTTCCGTGGCGTTTCAACGAGATCCAATTACAATCCTTAATTATCCGAACGCCTAACCGTATCGAGAGTATCAAGGGTTGAACTTAATCGAAGTTTATCGGGGTAAGCTTTTATCTGGAGGTATTTACTGTACACGGGAAACGGCCAGACGAGAATTTCACGAACAAGTAGATGGAACTACCGCGATCTAACTCGAGTTAAAATAAGTGGAACGCAAGATGCAATGGCAGTCTCCGGTGTTTAAATCGATTTCGCTTCCTTGTAGAGTAGTTAGTGGACATGTATCCTCCGCTACCGACACGATTCTTCCGCGTCTCCTGTCCGCTTTCGCAGGGCTCAGGTGCCACTTCGACGAACAAATTAGAACTTTCGCAAAAGGAAACTGCGAATTAGAAATACCGGAGTAATCCATTGAGCTAATGTGCTATAAATTTTTCTCCACTGCCTGCAATTTTTAATATCAACACGAGCTGCTGTCTTAAGGTAGGCGGAATAATTGAGCAGAAGGTTACTCTACGGATAAAGCCGAGATGAAAACGTGGAATAAAATTTCTCCGTTTGTGACATGTTCGCGACGGAATTGAGTTCGAAAATTCGTGGAGTGTACGTGCACTCAACTTACTCCCAATCGAACGCGTCCAATATGGCTGTCGATGGACTGTCGACGACTTCTATTTTAAACTCGATTTTCTCGAGAGTGAGGCCTCGAATGAAACAATGTTATTCTACGTTTTCGATTTAGTTTTCTTCATAGAATGGTCTCCTGCTCGATTATACCACTCTTATTCGCTTGAATTTTGTTGACGTTTACGAATTTCATGTATCGTTTGACGAATCCTTTACGAAACGATGATTTCGTACGTTTTGTACTTTACTCTAGCGTGGAATTAACTCCGGGCACGAAGTTAACTTGGTCTGTAAGTAGATTCTAGAGCTTTAATATTATGCGAAATATCGATCTATCAATACCGGGCTGGAAATATCTGACGTTTCGTCGTAAAACGCGAGGCTCGTTGGCAAAGTGTGTATATTCCTGGAAAGTGACTGGCGTGGCTGTAAATTTTGTAACTGCATCCGAGGTTGCACGAGTGCCAGGAGCCTGAAACACCTGGTTGGTAACTTCTAAGGTTAATTTTGCAAGGACGATTCGTGATTGCTCGTATAATCCTGCCGCTGGCTAATTCGTTCTCCTGACAGAATTTAGTCTACTGAATTTCCGGTTAGCGGCACGAAATCTCGGCTGCTTCATAAAATTTGTAACAGGGAACGGCACGAGTACACAGGAATTCGTTCTCTGGGTTTCTGTCTCGAATTAATACTAATTCCCGTGTCCGTCCTATCTGAAATTGTCCTACGACAAACTTTCTGTTCGTTGCTTACCGATTCCACCGCTTTTTCTCGTTTCGCTTGAGTAAAAATTAATAACATTAATGGCGTTGAATACCATGAAAAATTTCATGAAAAATCCATCGAGATAAAGAAATCCGCTGCTACCATTGAGAAATTTCCAACTTCCTCGCGATCGTGTATATTTTATTCCTTTATTTTATTTTACGATTCAATTCGGTAAATCTGAAATTTTCTACTTTCGCAACACCTAAATTCCTGGCACCTGACGTGTATTTTAAAAGTACACACTGCTTATTGTGCTCTTCTAATTTATTAGAGTTTTCGTTATTTCCGTCTTCCTAATTAAAGGACCACAGTGGAATCGGTATTGAAACCTCGTTAACACTAATGAGTTGAATTTCGCGTCATATAACTAGGAATCGGTACAAGAGCATCGAGTAATGGCCGGATTTGCGACCATCGTTTACGTTAACTGCGACCAGAATATCGCAGTTACATAAATGACAGTAACGTTAATACGGGTAACCATTGCGAAGTTGGTTTATAATCGGAGTTTCCGTTTCGACGTTAAAAGTACATTATGCTGCTCGTCCCTGCAATTCGAAAATGAAAAGCGGCATACGGC